AACAGAATATACATCGTCCGTATAATAAAATAAATTTCAATCAAGAAATTCGAGCAAAAATAATACTAAAACAAAGAAAATTTCTGGACCACCCTGGTGCATCGTTTCGCCGCCATTTTGGTCCGCGTAAGAATTTTGTCCATCTCTGGACGATTCCCAGAGTCGCTGGCGTCGCTTTAAAAGTCCTGGCCGCGCTCCAACGTACCGGCGCGTTTCTAATTTTGCCCGACTCGCGCGCGAAAGAATAATCGCGGAGAACATTCGACGGTCGTCCACGATAAAAGACGCGTTCCCAGTCCGTACAAATTTCGCCGCAGCTTTGATCAACGATCGAGGGAAGCGATTACGAATGAACGTCCTTCGGAAAAATTCGCGGGTCTCGAGACGGTGCGGCCCGAAGATAATATTCTGACGTGGCAGCCACTCGAACGGAGTTGTAAAGCCAATCCGTAGATACGCGTTGATATTGCTGGTTGATAAACGATCAACAGCACCACGCGTTTCGTTTAATCCGGTTCTATTCACGACGCGTGCACGCCATTTCCTATGTTTCTCGCGTAATATTTAATTCTTTGAAACTATTAATGGTAGATTTTAGAAGCCGATTTGACGGGTTTTAGATTGCATGATTGAAGTTGTGGGAAAGTTGTAAATATTAGCGATTTGGGTTAAATTTTATTCGTGATTTATTGTTTGTGTTACATTTTATTTAGAATATTCGGAAACAAATTTAGAAGAAAAAGTACTATACGTTATATAGTAAAAGTATTATAGGTTATAAGAATTATTTTAAGAGTAGGACTACTTAACAATCTCTTGCAAAATGAGATTGGTGAGATTCTCCCGAGGGAAACGAGTACAAACACGACACCATTCGGACAATTTTTAATTATTCAAAATTGAGTATTTTTCAAAAATGAGTTCGGACAAATCAAAATTAAAAGTAGTCCGAACCAGCTCGTGTTTGGACTCATTTTTATTGGAGGAATCTCACCAACATATTGACGATACTCTCGCGAGGATACAAGTACAAAAATTCAAATTTCATTACTGGATGATATTGCATGTCACGTATGTATTTTATCATTCTTATCTGGAAAAATTCTCACACTTGACTCTTTTATCTTCACGAGACTATTACCAATGTATTAGCAGGATTCTCTCGATGAAAACGAGTCCAAACACGGCACCATTCGGACAACTTTAAATTTAACATAATTAAAAAATTTTCAAAAATAATTTGAGTAAGTCAAAATTAAAAGTAGTCCGAACGAGGTCGTGTTTGGACTCATTTTCATCGGGAGAATCTCACTAATACATTGATAATACTCTCACAAGGATATAAGTATAAAAACGTTTAATATCATTAACAGGTGACCTTCGACGTCACCGAATAAAAATAGATGGGGAAAAAACACTTAGCTCTGTTATCTTCACGACACTATTACTAATGTATTGGCGAGATTCTTCCGATAAAAACGAGTCCAAACACGACACCATTCGGACAATTTTTAATTGTACGTAATTTGGTATTTTTTAAAAATAATTTGAGTGAGTTAAAATTAAAAGTGGTCCGAACCAGGTCGTGTTTGGACTCATTTTCATCGGGAGAATCTCACTAATACATTGATAATACTCTCACAAGGATATAAGTATAAAAACGTTTAATATCATTAACAGGTGACCTTCGACGTCACCAAATAAAAATAGATGGGGAAAAAACACTTAGCTCTGTTATCTTTACGACACTATTACTAATGTATTGGCGAGATTCTCCCGATGAAAACGAGTCCAAACACGACACAATTCCGACAATTTTTAATTGTACGTAATTTGGAATTTTTCAAAAATAATTTGAGTTAAAATTAAAAGTAATCCGAACCAGGTCGTGTTTGGACTCATTTTCATCGTGACAATCTCGCCAATACAATAGTAACACTTTCACCACATTTTAATCTGACCATCAACCTTCACCAAAAGTTAGTACAAAATATGAACTACGTCTTAAAAATAAACGTTTCTATCACCCTTTGAGTACAACCCTCCACAAGTAACACAAAAATAAATTTTAGAATTCACTTTTAACATTTTCCACTTTTTCGAATATCAAATTAATTTCCGTGTCGAGTCATAACTTCCTACAGTCTAGTAGCCGTGGCCCAAAATTTATATACAAATTGATACACAAAAATTTGTACTACAACTATTCATAAAACGTGAATTAAGTCGTCGACGGATATATTTTTCTCCCGGGTTCCGAGTTAGGTGTAAAACGCTATCGCTTATCAGCATCTACCACTGATAACAGGTCGACGAAGTCGAGTTGGCCGGTCGCTTATCGTCGCCGGGGAAATGGACCCAGTTCTTCGTGGTCGTTCGCGGGCAACCTTTCGCTACTGGTTTTCCTCGTCTTCGCGTTGGATTTTTTCGCCTTTAAAATCCACCCTTCCGTCGACAACGAAATATCTCAGAAACAATACAGGAACTTTCGTCATCCACGATCGCGCGACGATAAGAAATTTAACCCGTCGATCGAGTAGCTTCTCTCGTCCTCGTTTTACGCGATAATCGTTGCACGTTGCGCGAGTTTCTTGGCCCTCCGTGGCTCGTCGCAGTTGAGAAACGTTTAACGTTACGAAAGTGTAAGCATGAAGTGTGGCCGAAACAACGGGTTCGCGATAAAACGACGGAAAAAAATGGTTGTTCGGTGGCTCGCCAGAGGGAGCGTGTCTCGCGAAGGAAATCGGTTTTCCTTGAATTTTTATCGATTTTTATTTTTTGTCCATACTCGTGCACAGGTTTTTTTTTTAGAAAGATGGTTGAAAACTTTGGAATTCGAGTATAAATTGTTTGCTTTTATCGAGCAAACAGCGTGCCAGTTTCTTTTGGATTCTCATGCTGTGATAATTTATGACTAAGTCCTGGATTTTCTTGGCGAACAAGACCGCCCTGATAACGAATCGAATCGGCTGTTTTGTTCGATGGAACGATTCGTAATTTTTTTTACCAATTAAGAAATTAATTCGATCGAGCGTCGAGGTAATAAGAGAATTAAAAGGCAGGAAGTATCTTTGTTCTTTGCGTTGCGTAGTTTTGCTCGTTTCGAGACGGGTAATCTCTCCCTGGAGAGATTGCCTTCGGACAATTTGCTCGAGTTCTTATTACGGCGATAATAACGGGAATGTAAACTAATTAAAGATTGATAAAGGTAAAAGGCTTTGGAAATATTAAATAAATAACTTTCATAATAGTTTCACTTCGCTTTTCGTTACCATGGGTAATCAATCGGGGCTCTGCTGTAATTGCTATGACGAATTGAAAGTGGTTAATCAACGTGGATGAAATAACATTCACTTTCGATGTTTATAAAATTTTTATTAGCAATAAATATTCATCGTCTCTTCTAGATAATGCTGGATTATCTTTCTGATACATCTACGGTTCGTCGGTTCGATTTTTATCGAGTTGACCCACATACGTGTCACTGGACAGTGAACGTGTTGGTGAATAGTAATTATATTTTTAAAATACAAGTTACTCGCGGAAGACAGTTATAATAGGAACTTAACTACTTTGGAAAAAGAAAGAAAAATTGTTCAGTATTTTGAAATTTGAAATTTATTTATTAGTTGTAAAGAGATTTCAAAGAAAATTAGATCGAGTTATTACTAATGAAAGACAGTTTGAAAAATATAGTTATTACATAGATTACCGCCTTGACCCACATGCGAGTCACTGGACAGTGAACGTGTTGGTGAATAATGATTATATTTTTAAAATATAAGTTACTCGTGGAACTATCGCCGATTGAAAGAAACTGATTTCCCATTTATTAAAACAGATGTAATAGGAGCTTAACTACTTTAGAAAAAGGAAGAAAAATTGTCAATTTTGGTGTTTATAAAATTTCTCTAACAATACATTTTTCATCGTCTCTTCGAGACAATACTGGATTATCTTTCTGATACATCTACGCTCCGTCGGTACGATTTTTATCGAGTCGAAACCGCCTTGACCCACATGCGGGTCACTGGACAGTGAACGTGTCGGTGAATAGTAATTATATTTTAAAAATGATTTTTCATTCAGTAAAACAGTTGTAATATGAGCTTTAACTACTTTAGAAAAAGCTAGAAAAATTGTTCAGTATTTTGAAATTTGAAAATTATTTATCAGTTCTGAAGTAATCTAAAAGAAAATTAGATTTAGTTATTACTAATGAAACACACATTGAAAAATATTGTTATTACATAGATTTATAACGTTTCATTAATTCAATTTAATACTCCAAAGCGCTATAAAACGCCTCCATATCAGAACACACTTGAAATCTTCGTATCTTGTACTTTCCTATCGTAAGCAATTAATAGACACCGATAACTATTATTGTTACAATAGGAAATTGTTGTTTGCCGTGAAAAAATCGTTAAGCGTTATTGTTTTTATTTGGTGTACTCGACGTTATAAATAAAGTTTTCAACTATTTATCGGAAACAACCGTGCACGCAGATGGAAAAGTTTAGACAATCGCTCGATCTCGCGACGATCGAGGCTCGATCACGCGCATGCGTTATCGCTTGGCGCGACGTATGCGGTCACATCGCGATATCGTTGCACGTTTTTTCTTTCGTCGGTCACTCGTATCCGTGAGAACTCATCAACCACGATGACCGTACTTTTCCAGAGTTTTATTGGAGCTGTGATAGCGTTCCCGACTGGCGTCTAGCAAAATACATTATTGCAAAATGCAATTTGTCAAATTCGAATTTTGCAAAATTTTTTAAATCTGAATTTTGTAAAATTTAATAAATTTGAATTTGTCAAATTTGACAAGTTTGAATTTGTACAATTTCTCAAATATTACTACGAGATATGTCAAATTTAAATTTGTAAAATTTGACAATTTCTGATTCGTACCATTTTTCAAATTTGAATTTGTACAATTTGTTAAATTTTAATACGAGAAATGTTCAAATTTGAATTTTGTAAAATTTAATAAATTTGAATTTGTCAAATTTTACTAATTTTAATTGTCAAAATTAGAATCGCGATCAAAATGCAATGCAACTTTTCCTAATTAAATCAAAGTTTATAGTAGATTATTTACTTGTACTCAGAAGGAAGGGGGTGGGGGGAATTTGAGCAAAATTGAGTGACTTTCCACCCTTGCATAATAGTGCACTGGCCTCCTAAAGTTATTCTTAACAGATGCTCCAGTTTTAGTAGCCTCCGTTTGTGTGAAATTATTTCTACCCGGTTATATGAAATCATTTTCCCCCGGTTAAGTGAAATAAGTCTTTCTTTAGACGTACGAAATAATTTTTTCACCGGTTGTGCGAGAAATTGGATCTCCACTTTCCTCAGTTTCAAGAAAAGAGACATTAAAGTTTAAATTACATATTTTTTAATCATGTTAACGGAAAAATTCACGAGTATTACTATTTGAGGAGCTGTCAGTCATCATTTACGTGAAATTATTTCTACCCGCTTATGTGAAATCATCTTTCCCCGGTTAAGTGAAATAAGTCTTTCTTTATACGTACGAAATAATGTTTTCACCGGTTATGCGAGAAATTGGATCTCCACTTTCCTCAGTTTCAAGAAAAGAGACATTAAAGTTTAAATTACATATTTTTGAATCATGTTAACGGAAAAATTCACGAGTATTAACGGTGTAGAGATCTGTGAAATTATTTCTACCCGCTTATTTGAAATCATCTTTCCCCGGTTAAGTGAAATAAGTCTTTCTCTGGTCGTGCAAAATAATTTTTATAAATCATAGCATAACAAATAGAAATATTCAATAGTTAAATGGCTTACTTGTTATTTTGTAATATTCTTAATGGCAATTACATTATTAAAAAATATATAAGAATTTTGAAAATACGTTGTAGGATTGAACCGCCGGTCATCGGTGACCACCATAGTAATCAACGCGTTAATAGCAAATACAAATTCCTTAAATACGAAATTTACGATTAAGTGAGAGTATGAAAACTCACCTAAATAGAAATTCGGTTAATAATCGCGACAATTTACCAAAATCTCATAAATCACATCTACCATGAGTTTCATTGATATAGAAAAAAATAAAACATGCTCGACAAGAGGATGAATTTGATTTGCAAAAATTTGAATTCCCCGGAGCGCAAAAAGCTATCTCGATACGAATAAATCTCGCGACGCGTCTAGATCAATTCGCCGCTAGATCCCCCCCCCCAAAAAAAATCGCCTGTTTGCGATCCAAGGCGGTCCCTCGAGCCAAACACGAGCTTTGATCGCAACGTGCCCGCCTCAATTCCGAGGAAAGCTTTTTTCTCGCGATATGTGCCTACGTATGCGCGTCGCTGCTTCCTGCTTGTCGATAATTCTATGTAATTGTTTTGCCAAACGCGAGATGGCCGGGTCGTGTCTCGTTCCACGGTTTAAGGGTTAAATGTGAACGCTGAAACAGTGATGGTCGTTCGAGGATCGACGGGGAGCGCGGGCATCCATAACGAAAGGACGCATGTTTTTCTGACAGAAATCGAGCCTACGGCCTGACGACGTCCGTTCCGCAGTCCCGATGAATCGATGTTGAGGGATCGTAGACGACCGTACGAACGTTTAAACGAGGTAGCGAGAGGGAGCACGTTCGTCTTTCAGCGAAAGCGCGCGCGAAAGTGTCTCGGTCATGGACGATCGCGAGAGCCCTTTCTCTCGGACGCAACCGAGCAGAAGTTCGATTCGAAGGAGCGTCGTGACGGACGGGCAGCAGCAGCAGCGCCATATCGCGCAGCGGCAGACCAAGGAAGCTGGTCCCAGATTGCCGAGAAGGTTAGGCCCTCCTGCCTTGGAGAATTTGAAACAGTGGGAACTCGTGGAGGGCGATCGTGGACTGAAAGTGGTGGAGAAGAGGAATCTCGGGAGTAATCGAGTCAGTATCGTCGAACGAACGACGCCCACGGTCCAAAGGAAGGCGAACATCACGATCGACCCGAGCTTCCAAGAGAAGCTGAAGGCGTTTAAGGATTCGAAGATCATTCAGCCGATCGCCATGTCCGCGGAGGACACCACCGCACCGATCAGCCTCGATCTGATCCTCAACAAACAGAAAGGCCCCGCGGTGGAGAGCACCGACATGCTCCAGAGATTGGAGCTGCAGGTCAAGGCCATCGAAATGGGCACGCTCGCGGCCAGAACGCGACAGCTGGAGGACAGCTCGGATTTCGAGCCGGAAAAACATCTTCGATACAGAGAGCACGAGGATCTCCTTCGAAACGTGACGGACGACGAGGCCGAGGGGTAACATTTTCTCGACTCTGATCATACGAAACTATCTGTCGCGCGTGTTCGCAAAACTCGCGAGTATAGATTTTTTTTTTTCAATTTTTCGATTTCATTCGTAAATGATCAAATTTAAAACTCGATATAAGTTCGTTTGAGACCATGAATTTTAGTTTTTATTTTTGTTGTGATTACTCGTTAATATATTCCCTAGAACGATCCATCTATTGACTTATAATTTTTATTTTTTTTTTTTCAATTTTTCGATTTCATTCGTAAATGATCAAATTTAAAACTCGATATAAGTTCGTTTGAGACCATGAATTTTAGTTTTTATTTTTGTTGTGATTACTCGTTAATATATTCCCTAGAACGATCCATCTATTGGCTTACAATTTTTATTTTATTTTATTTTTGTTTTTTTTTTTTTCAAATTTTATTCGTTAATGATCGAATTGAAAACTCGATATAAGTTCCTCTATTTGTCAAGAATTTTAGTTTTTATTTTTATTGTAATATTGCATAGTACGATCCATTTGTTGACTTACAATTTTTTTTTTTCTTCAATTTTTCAGTTTCGTTTGTTAATGTTCAAATTTGATACTCGATATAACTCCATCTATAGCCAAGAATTCTACATTTTATTTCCATTGTGATCGCTCGTTTAACATTTTGAACATCAAACTACGAATGAGGTCGAAAATTTCTTTACAAATTTTCTTTTCAATCCTACATTTTACCGTAAAACAACCCATTTTCGAGACTTCTAGTTCGTTTTGATTTCTTTTCGGGTTATTCTTTCGAAAGTTATTTGCAAACTTGAATCGCGTGACGGCGAACGCGTAAAATTTCGTACAGTAAAGAAATGGACGAAAAAGTGACCTCGGTGATATTGAAACGAAAAGGGCCTCCCCGTTGCACCGAGGAGACGCGACGAGGAACTCGACCGGAAACGCTGGGATCACGGTGAAGAAGCCCACGGCGAAATTGTCGAGGACAGCCTCGGACACGAGGCGAAGACAGGAAGCGGAAGTGCCTCTTCGAACGCACACCAGGGTGCAGCAGTTGCGCGCTTTGGGTCGACCTATCATCACCAAGAAAGATCAGCGACAACAGCAGCAGCAACAGCAACAACAACAAAACAATGCGGTCAGCAGTGGGCTCAGACCGTTGTCAGACATCATGCAGAAGGCTGGTCAGAATGAAAAGGAGGTAGATATCGTATAACGAATGGCCATTTAAATAGAGGTAAACCCTTTCGAGGGTTTTTTTAAGAAAGTTTCGACGCAGGGTGGGAAATTAAAACAAGAGTGGGGTGGTTATTTCAGATTCTTACTAATGGAATCATCCACCAATGAAAATCAAGATATTATATTTTTCGTTTTATCTTTACGACACTATTACCAATGTGTTGGCAAGGTCCTCCCGGTGAAAATGAGTCCAAACTCAACACCATTCGGACAATTTTTAATTGTACGTAATTTGGAATTTTTCAAAAATAATTTGAGCGAGTTAAAATTAAAAGTAGTTCGAACTAGGTCGTGTATGGACTCATTTTCATCGGGAGAATCTTGCTAATACATTGGTAATAGTGGCGTGAAAATAAAACGACAAATATAAAAATTTTCATTAATCTCTTGCAGAATGAGATTGGCGAGATTCTCCTGATGAAAACGAGTCCAAACACGACACCTTTCGGACAACTTTTAATTTTACATAATCTGGTTTTTTCAAAATTGGTTTTGATAAGTCAAAATTAAAAGTAGTCCAAACCAGGTCGTGTTTGGACTCATTTTCATCAGGAGAATGTCACCAGTGCATTGATAATACTCTCATAAGGATACAAGTATAAAAATTTCAAATTTCATTACTGATTGACATTCGATGTCACGCACATGTCTTATCGCTTTCCTCTGAAAAAAATCGTCGGCTAGTAACTAAACATAGGTGGGAAAGAAACACCTGACTCGTCCAGAGAGTGTTTTATAACTTAAGAATACAGCTCAGTAACAATCTCTTGCAAAACATAGAATTACAAGACTGTATTTAAGCTTGACAGTAATTGACGCTAAGTGCTCAGACTTCTAAGAACCGGATACCCAGGATGACAGACACTAAAAGATGCTTCGGACATAATTTTCCGAGGGATACGTATGTATTATCGTGTTCGGTGGGGGAGAATGACCTTAGGTCCTAATTGCTATGAGTAAGACAACGAATGAAGACTTGGAACTAGAAAGTAAAAACCAGGCGATGACTAATGCTTTAGGGAAGACAACTGTTAGATCCAAGTTTCTCTCCAGTAAATTTGGCGATGTTAAATTGTGAAATTATTCCTACCCGCTTATGTGAAATCATCTTTCCCCGGTTAAGTGAAATAAGTCTTTCTTTAGACGAACGAAATAATTTTTTCACCGGTTGTGCGAGAAATTGGATCTCCACTTTTCTCAGTTTCAAGAAAAGAGACATTAAAGTTTAAATTACATATTTTTGAATCATGTTAACGGAAAAATTCACGAGTATTACGATTTGAGGAGCTGTCAGTCATCATTTACGTGAAATTATTCGTACCCGGTTATATGAAATCATCTTTCCCCGGTTAAGTGAAATAAGTCTTTCTTTAGACGAACGAAATAATTTTTTCACCGGTTGTGCGAGGAATTGGATCTCCACTTTTCTCAGTTTCAAGAAAAGAGACATTAAAGTTTAAATTACATATTTTTGAATCATGTTAACGGAAAAATTCACGAATATTACGGTTTGGGGATGTGTCAGTCATCATTTACGTGAAATTATTCCTACCCGCTTATTTGAAATCATTTTTACCCGGTTAAGTGAAACGAACAGTGTTTACCGTCGAAACAGATATAATCGCGATTTTAGATCGTCGATTTGCGTTCGAGCGACAGGAACCCAACGATTGTTGATCGACCGGGTTCCCCAGTCGTTAGCTGAGCGCAACGAGTGCAGCGTTAACGCATATCTGCGCTCTCGGGTCACGTACAGCGCACAGTCTACGGCTCATCCGTTGGAGCTAAAATAATGCGGATGGCTTCCCTGCCTGTTCGACTGTGCGAATGCGTGCCACCTAACGATCGTGAGACCCGTCAAAGCCGATTAACCGCCTCAGAGTTGCGCGCATCGAATCTCTCCCCTCGAGTTATATGCATATCCCGGCTTCTTTTTTCGTCCGGCGAACAGATTGCACGCGTTGAGCGCCGAAATACTATTCCAGACACCTGTCGACGCCCCCAGCATCATCCTCCACTCTCTCGCCTCGGTTCTCTGCTGAAAGAACTTTTTATATTTACCATGTTTCAACACATTCAATATTTTTTTATTTTAATATTTAACACATGGGTGATGTATTTAAACAAAAAATAAGCTTTTAAATTAACTGCTGTGGTGTGTTCAGCTGTCAGAAAAACAGTAATAAATATATGTTAGAATGTGTAGGATAAATATAAAAATGCACCACTGGTCATAAATAGTACCGTTATCGGAGAACTTACTAGAAAAACACACGCTTGTCGTAGAACGAGAATACTCGTTTCCCGTCGGTAATGTAAATTTCAATGAAACGAGAATACTCGTTTCGCGTCGGTAATGTAAATTTCAGTAAAACGAGAATACTCGTTTCCCGTCGGTAATGTAAATTTCAGTAAAACGAGAATTCTCGATTCCCGTCAGGAATGTGTTAATATTAAATATTTTAATCTTTTTTCCGAAAGCTTTGTTCGATTTTTATTGCAAGTATTATTATTTATTTGGAGAATGATGTATTTATTTTTGTGCTTTGTTTGGTTAGATGCGTGTACAAAAGCTGTTCAGTAATAGTGGCCCTAACTATCCCTTTGGTGCTCTGTGCTCCGTTGCAATAATTAGCCACTACCGAGTCTCTCAACTCTTTGATCTTCAACGATGTCGCGTTTTTGCGTTTCCCAAACACACGTCACACGCTCGTGCCACGTGTCGTCCACAAATTCACGGGCATTGTTAGCATCTGTTCGCCCTTTGTCACCCTTTTCTAACGATTGGGACTTCACGCGTACGGGGGACCCCCAATTACACTGAAAAGATAATTAAAAAATTTCCTGCCCTCTCATAAACACTTAAGAAAAAAAACATTACAAAATTTTTAAAGAATGAATAAAGTAAACACACCATAATTTTTTAAACTTCATCAACTGATTTATTGATACTGCAATGACAGAAAAAAAATTTTTATAAAATTTTTTGTATAATTTAAATGAAAGTTAGAACAGAATCTTATGTAGAATATATGTGGTTATAGAAAATTGTTTCTTTGCCCTCCAAAACATTTGGAAACCACTAATCCACTTTGACTGTCCCTAGCTCTTGCATATATGGTTAGATTAGGCTTTGGTGCATTTTGGGGGCTACCGTTTCGTCGGAACCAAAGAACATCAGCTGCGGTGTGTCAGTACTTGCAAAGCTTGGCGACGGTTATGCGGTACAAAGCAGATTTCATATACGCGCTCCGATCCTTCTCAGCTAGGAGACGCGGGGACTACAGTTCGCCGTGTACTCTCGTGTTTATCGCGTCTCTCGCTGAATATGGAGTTGCATAAATCACGGTCTCGCGGAATATCTAGACCGAGTCCCACTCCGCTTGTCTCTGAATTCCCAAGAATATCGCAGTTTCTCATCCTATTTCGAGTCGATCCCATTTTTCATATTCGATTAAACTTACAAAGGAGCGTCGTGACTCGCCTCCCCAGTCCACCTATTGCGTCAAACTTTGCATATAGGGGGTCGTTGAATATGTTTAACACAGATTCAACGACTGATTGATCCGTAACTAGCCGTAGAGTGTAACAGCAACAGAAATTAATGAAACAACTTTCACAAAATTAAAAGAATATTTAAAATTCGAACGATGTTGTTACATTGAAAAAAAATATTATTTTACGAAAAATAAAATCAACATCCCTTCTGAATTTTTCGAGCAAAATGGAGCAGCAACGTTGCTTGGAAATTTTGTAAAATTTAATTTTTGTACTAGCAAATGGATATTTTTTGTTGCTGGAAATTAATCAAGTCTAATCTTCGGACAATCAACATAAAGTGTTTTGTAAATTTTTTGTTGCTGGAAATTTAATAAAATCCAATTTTTGAACAAGCAACAGAAAGTGTTTTGTGAATTTTTTGTTGCTGGAAATTTAATGGAATTTAATTTTTGAACAAGTAAAAGAATTTTTTGTTGCTGGAAATTTAATGAAATTTAATTTTTGAACAATGTAAAAGAATTTTTTGTTGCTGGAAATTTGCTGAAATCTAATTTTTAAACAAGCAACAGAATGTATTTTGTGAATTTATTGTTGCTGGAAATTTAGACAAATCTAATTTTTGCAAAAACAAAATATCGTATTTTGTGAATTTTTTTTGCTGAAAATTTAATGAAATCTATTTTTTGAATATACAAAAGGATATGATTTGCGAATTTATTGTTGCTGAAAATGTAGTGAAATCTAATTGTTGCAAGGAAAAAAGAACGGGTTTTGTGAACTTTTAATTGCTGGAAATTTAGTGAAATCTAATTTTTGAAAAAGCAACAGAATTTTTTGTTGCTGGAAATTTAATGAAATCCAATTTTTGAACAAGCAACAGAATGTATTTTGTGAATTTTTTGTTGCTGAAAATTTAGTCAATTCTCATTTTTGAACAAGCAACAGAATGTATTTTGTGAATTTATTGTTGCTGGAAATTTTGTCAAATCTCATTTTTGAACAAGCAATAGAATTTGTTCAGTGAATTTTTTGTTACTAAAAAATCAGTCAAATCTAATTTTTGGACAAGCAAAAGAATATTGTTTGTTGCTGGAAATTTAATGAAATCCAATATTTGAACAAGCAACAGAATGTATTTTGTGAATTTTTTGTTGCTGGAAATTTAGTCAAATCTCATTTTTGAACAAGCAACATAATGTATTTTCTGAATTTTTTGTTGCTGGAAATTTAGTCAAATCTCATTTTTGAACAAGCAACATAATGTATTTTGTGAATTTTTTGTTGCTGAAAATTTTGTCAAATCTCATTTTTGAACAAGCAATAGGATTTCGTAAGTGAATTTTTTGTTACTAAAAAATCAGTCAAATCTAATTTTTAGACAAGCAAAAGAATATTGTTTGTTGCTGGAAATTTAATGAAATCCAATATTTGAACAAGCAACAGAATGTATTTTGTGAATTT